CTTTTAGTTAAATGAAATAATTGATTAAAATGTTAAAATACTGCTAATTTAAATTTTAGAGTTCAGAAAAGCTGGTTGTGTAGAAGCATTACACATATTTTCTTTGCCAGAGGAATGGAAGCCATCTACTTCGTGGAGGTGTTTGAGAGAACTAGCAGCTCCTGTACCACTACCTGCTGTGACTTACAGATTTATGCGTTTTACCTGGGAATACAGGAAGCTAGATTTACTGACAACAATAGTTTCTCAGATCTGTTCTTATATTGTCTTAAGTATAGTTGCTGCCATCTTTAATCATCCATTTTTCTTCTTCCAGTGTCTTTTGTTACAGATGTCTTTGTTCCTATTAGCTCTTTATTTTTCATACATCTTGTCCTTTTCTTTCTGCCACTTTATGTAATGCTCTTTTAGGAAGCTTTTGTATAAATAGAAGGTAAAGTCTTGAATGGTATTAACAGCATTGATGTTGTCCTTTATTTAAGAGTTTCAGTTTAATCTCATCTGATTAGAACAAAACACAGTCGTTGAAGTCTTAGGAACCTCAATAAAATACGTTGGAAGCAGAATAAAAGAAAGATCAGTAAACACCCTCGCTTTCTTGCAGCCAAGTCATGAAATGTCTTAAGATAAAGCTAGGATAAAACGACAATTTTGTTTTGATTTTGTTTTTAGTTATTATTAGGTTCAGACTATTCTATGTAATATAGGTGTTGGATACCAGTTAGTGATGATAAGATCTTGCAAGGTCGTCTTTTCAGTTTCTGAACCAAAGAACAGAAATCATCTTCCACCATTTTTTTAGAAAGTATATGGAATGAACTGCCTCCTCCTGGTATTTTTTGGTGTCTAAATTAGCGGTAAAATTGTGTGTTTAAGTTAAGGTCTTGAGGCCAATACAAGCTACTACTCTAACATCCCAAACACGTGTAGAAGGAGAAATCAAGAGCTGATTTTGGTTTATGTCTCATTTTGCTCTAAAAGTAAAGAATATTGGAGTAAATTAAAAACCTCAGTGGTTATGAAGAAAGCTGATTACCTGTTGATTTTGTGTGAGTGCATTAATCACCTTGACAACTAAGCATCATCATAAAATCCTAGTGCTAGTAATGTGGTATGCTACATCTGATTATGCAGAATTATAATTAATTTATATGTGCAAAGTGGTTAGTAAGAAGTACTAGTGATTGCAGTGATAGAGACGGAGGATATAATGAAAGTATAATTTTGTAGGTGAATACTTCTCTGAGAGATTATTAGTATAGATCTGGATGGTTATAGGGATGACAGCACAAGTACTTCATCATGGAAAAAAGTAGAAAGCATTCCATTCAATACAGATCAGTCTAAAGGAAACTATTCTTACTGTAACAAACAAACAAAAAGTATATTAGTAGGCTCCCTGATCTTTTTATTAAGAGAAATTAGAAAGGCAAAGAAGCATCATTCCAAAAATGATATAATGGATTAAAAATCTGGTTTCCTTAGGCTATAATGACTTCACAAAATGATCAGAATATCTCTTGGTTTGCTGTTGAGGCAAATTAGAAACCCTCCAGATGACCTCAGGTAGTAAAACAATCAGTATAGTGTGTCATGCACATAAAGTGGTACCAAAAGTATATCCTTGAGTCAGTATCCCAATATAAAAAATGCATACATAGAACAACATAATTCAAGAATTGAGCCTTGTGGGAGTCTCCAAACGTTTGAATCCGATTGGAAGAAAACCCACACATAGTAATAAAGTGGGAGTCATTTTCTGATCTTCTCCAGAATCCTAAAGTCTGCTGCCTTTTACCATCAGGGATAGAGAAGAAAAGCTTTTAAGTCAGCCAGTATCAGATTGATTCATAAAGCAAACAGGAAAAGTATTATGAAGCAAGGCTACATGCTATGATAGACATCTAGGAATACTCATCTTTGGCAGTCTATTCATCTTTGGCTAAGGAGGTGGAAACTCTGGTTTGTCTCCCTGGGTAATGTATGGAATCCTGTTTATATTCCAGCTCACTTTATGTGGCCTTGGGGAGCAAAGTCTGGTCTTAGAATTAGCTGTAATTTTTGCTGATCAGATAGTGGTATGACTGGCCAAGTATTTTTCCATGACTTTTGTAGGAGAACTGTATGAGAAATCGGTGATATGCTTTTATTTTTTTAAATATTTGCTTAGTGAATGTACTTGTTTCATTTTCAGTTGCCTGCTGAGACAACCAGCTGGTGAGTGAGAGATTTCCTCTGTATAGGTGATTTGCAAAGATTTCTTTATTTTTGTAATGTGGAGAATTAGTTGTAAATGCAAAAACAAGGATAAAGGACCATTTAGGTATTGCTTTTTCTTAAATGTCCAATATAAAATTAGAAACGCAGTTGTCGTGTGTTAAATAGAAGTAGTTTAAACATATGTATATGTACATATATGTTTAATATATAATGTAATAACTTTTAAAGCATACAAACCTACTTAATTTTACATGTGTATTTTAATGCTTTCACCTAACCTGACATTTCTAGACAGTACTGTGTTTTATCAAAATTTTAGTCAATAGGCTATTTCAGGCCAGAGTGTAATTTAACAATGTATTTAGCTGTTTTGTTTTTGTGCATCCCCTCTATGGAAACTGCAGAGAGTGGAGAAAATACAAAAGGCAGGACAGGGTGTATCTGACTCTTTCTTCCTCTTTTTTTCTAATAATAATGATGTGTTTTGTTTTGCCAGGCTTCTTAAGAGCCTCAGTCATTGACAACAGCATCAATGCTAGCGCCTGTAAAAATAGGGAATGAAAAAATGGTCACGACCCAAAATGTTTGCAGACTAAGATCATGAACAGAGTTTGAAAAACAAGACCAAATTGATTGGTATGATCTAAATGGTCTTCGTTTACCCAACATAACTTGAATACTTAACTGCAGTCCCATGGATCATAAGCATTGACCTCAAATTCTACATATATAGAATTTTCTGTGGTACCTGTGGAAAGCGTCTTTCCTTGTATCCAAAAATGCACGACCTTTTGCCAAACACGACAATTTCTGGATAGTCTCTTGATGTTAGATCCTGTCATGCACTAAACTTCTTATTTGCTTTCTGCATGAAATTATTCTTTTGACTATAAAAACTGGGATTTGGAGAATATTTTATTTTGGATACGCTAAGAATATTTTCTTGCCATGTAAATGTAGATCATTGTGAGTTACTGTCTTACAGAGATGAATCTCCTGTCAGAATAGTGGGGCTAAGAAATACAGTTGACCAAAAAAAAGAGATATAATACGTTTTTCTTAAACCTTTACTTGGAAAAATTCCGGTTGTCAAATAATTTTTCCTTTTCTGGGAGAAGAATTTAAATTACATGAATTATTGCCCAAATTGACATCTTCCTTCTCATGTAGTCTTTTAGTTACTGTTAATTAAGGAATCTACATTCAGTTAAATGGAAAACTTTACATGACTTGTCTCTTATTTTGAAATATGAAACCACAAAATACTCTGGGTGTATTTTTATAAAGATGTTGATTGATTAGCAGTAGTATTTAGCTTAACACCATGTCCAAAATTACTTATACTATTTAGTCTTTATAGAATAGATTTCACTGTACTTGTTACTGAACAAGAGCAAGAAACTAATGGATCGTCCTTGATTTAAAAAAAAAAAAAAAAAAAAGAGAATTTTAAGCCTACATGTTATAAGTTAGATGAGATCCAGAATGTACTGGGGTAGGCTGAGGGGGGCAGGATAAAAAATGTGAAATATGCATCAACTGTGCTTATTATATTTGTGATTAGATGTCTCTGTCAAGGAATTGCTAAATTGTATTATTTGTTTCTGTTAGGAAAAGGGGATTTGTGAGATGAGAATAAAGACCTCTTAGGACCATGGCATTATGATTTTTGATGATGGTCTTTTTGAATTTATAAGGGTAATGTGAGAGAAGCAAAATTTAGAAGACACATGTACGCTATGCATTGTAGTACTCCTGAGAAAATAGTTCAGGTTCTGGAGGCAGCCAAACTGTTTCATTCTAGTGAATGAACCCAGCTTCTCAGCCTATCAGGCATATTTTTTGTAGTTATAAAGTTAGTCTGAATGTGTGTAGACCTTTGGGGTGTAGGAAGAAGAGGGTGAGAAGGACACCTACCGTGGGACTCCTGTCCTTTAGAGGTGAACCTTGTTTAAATCTGCCTGTTTTTTTGTTTTGCTTTCTAATAAACTGCCCAGACAGGTTGTGGGAGAGGTAGAAGCTTCATCAAATTTTTAAATTATCATGAGAACTCATTACAGCTCTACATTGTTCTATGTAGATATTCCTCTCTCCCTTTTTTTTCCTGAGGTACCTCCGTGTAAGATACAACTCCTGTGTTTTATCACAGACAAGTGCTACTAATCTTTATTCTTTTTTTTTTTTTTAAATAAAGACCAGTAAACTTTAATGCCTTCTGTGAAATATATGTCTTTGCTAATAATTGCTGCAGAAAAATACAGTGTGCAGTTGTGAAAACTGAAATGTGATAGATACTGTAGAGTGTGCTGTATCAACCCACTATATAATTATTATCCTTAAAATGTCAAATTTAAATATAATGTCTTTGAATTGCTTATTTCAGGCATCAGTGGAAAAACAAAGAAGAAACTACAGAAAAGATTTTAAATTACTCTTAACAGTATTTGAATTATTAACTCAATTGGATGAATTATGATTTGATGTCTGGGCAGAAACAGCAGCATTGTATTTGGACTAAGATTACTTACTGGCTTTGTCATGGTTGACGTTAATTATTGATAGTGGTTTCAGAAATAGCGCGTGTGCTGGCAGAGCTGACTGTAATATAAGATAGGGACTGCAGTGATGCTAGCAGGATTATAGAGAAGGAAGCACCTGTAGCATTTGGAGTTATGTGCTGCTAATCGTCAGACTTGTAATTTGCTGCAATACATTCATGTGAGTGATAAAATAATGGAAAGATGAGCCGTCAAGCTTATTTCTATCGTGTCCCTCCACAGGAATTACATAGAAGAACCCAACTACAGCCTGAGCCAGCGAAGACAAAAGCTCTTCAAACAGTTATTGAAATGAAGGTATGGTCTTTGCATGTTTTCCTGTACATTATTTTTTTAGTTGGAACTCAGTTTATAACTTTAATATTAAAGCATAAAGTGCTTGCTTTTACTTTTTAACTTCTTTTGTTGTGAAGCTAGGAGTAATATTTCTTTCTCCCATATTTACTCCAAAATCATTGTCAGTGTTTAAAATAGTCCAAAACTAATGATTAGATGAAATCCTAAGGCCTGTAACTTCATGTATTTGAAAACATAATCCCAATAAAGTTGTAAAAACATTCTTTGCCTCAGAAGGAAGGCAGGCATCTCCTTTGAGAGACTTGGCAAATGTTTGCCTCTTTTCCATTGTTTCCCTAAACAGCCAACTTCATATAAAAGAAATTTGACTGATTTGTTAATTAACAAACTGAAACACTAGATTTGCTATATTAGAAATGAAGTTATGAGAAATAATCTATATATAGCAGAAAATATTTATTCAGTATACATTCACTATGCTTTCAGCATTGCGAGCTTTCCTTTTTTTTTTTTTTCTTCTTTTTGACCTTCTGCAACTCCTTCCTCATACCCGTGCTATAGGACATGAGGATAATTTTGTTTATAAAGGATACAGGTCCTGCTTCTTAAGAGTTCTAGCACGTCAGTTTACAGCTAGATGCCCAGTGCTTCTCGGTGTATTTGGAACATCTCAGTTGTGTATTTCAGGCAAACTTTGAGCATTGCTCTCTACAAAACATTTAGATTGCTAGTTCTGCCAGTTTTTGTTCACACATGCATAGACTTTATTTCTAACTCTTATGGGCTGCTCATTCTGACAGGAATGACTGTCAAATGTTTTAATAAAGAAAGAATGCAGAAAGTGTGCAGAAAAGCACTAGAACTTATTTGTAGATAAAAACAGGTATTAGTGCTTGGTGCCACTAATATAACAAGAATACATTGTCAAAGTCTGTAGAGTTATAGTGAGATAAATCTGTATAAATGAAGTCAGACCTAGGCCATGAGTGGTCACCGAATTCTATGCAGTAGCACCATAAATGGCAGCTTTTCTTGTCTATGCTGATAGATTACTGATTGTTCAGTACTGAGCTGACTATTATTCTTTTTTTGATGCAATATCCTAGTATTAAAAAGGTATTATTTCTCTCTTAAAAACTGTATTTGTGATTTGCCAAGACTGGATATTCTTACTACTCTCTTTCCGGAATAGAAGCATTAACTGTTGGGTGAGAGATGTCTGTATCAGCTATTACCTCAGTTTTGTGCAACTCATTTTCTATTTGTGAGTAAAATTCACTTGTAGTTTTTATTTTATGTTTGTATCCTGACAACATTTTCTTTAATCTGCAAATTACTGGGCTCTCTGCAGCTTACTGGAAATGCAATGCTGTGTAAAAGGAGTGATTAAAATAAGGACAATTGAGTGTTTTTTTTTTTTTAAATAGGACTTTATTTAAAAAAAAAACAAAAAGCAAATGCAGCCTTGCTTAATAGTGACACTTGAACATTATTTTTAAGATGGTGACTAAAAAAAAAAAAAAAAAGGTGAGCCAAAGTGGAATAAATGTCCAAGGCTCACATAAAGTGTTTTTCTTAAAATTGTTTCCAAATACAAATTATGTTGGTGGTTATTTGGCCATCATTTTACATCCAACCCAAGCAAAATGTTCATGCTATCAGCAGCCCTAGAATTTGTGTTTTAGGGAGTGATATGGCAAAATGTGATGAAATCTCTGTCTTAAAATAGTTCTAAATAGAGATTCTTCTTTCTGATATATATTATGAAAAATTTCCAACTTTTCTTCCCACAATAATGAAAGATAAAAATTATCACTTTAAAAATGAAAACTCCTATTTTTGCACAAATCTTTGAATCTGGATTCTATATCTTTAAGAAAAATATTGAATACTATGGGACTCAAGATAATTTGTGAGGGTTGGCAGTACTGCCTGAAATACATTAATGATGGTCTTTCATTTCCACCGTCTTAAAAGGAAATGCAAATTAAAGGTCTCATTTTGCTAGTGACTTGTGTTATGAGCAAATGAGTTCAGCATGTCTGAACATTACGATAAATATACAGCAACAACAACAGTACTACTCCATAAATACAGGATCTGCCTTTTAATGGGTAATAAATTAGTTTGGGTTGTATGAATAACAAAGAAGGTACATCAATTTCAGTATTCCATATTCTGATGTATATTTCCCTTAGATTTCTCTGTTCATTCTAATTCAGGAGTCTATGAAATTTAAAACACTTATTTTTTGTAATAACTTATTATCGTAAGCATATGAGAAAGTAGGGCACTCTGTTTGGCTGAGAAACTTGTTTCTATATATCTTAATATTCAGTACTATCAATTTAAAGATTTTGGGATTCAGAGATAGTGTCCCAGAGTCGTTTACGGTCTTCCATGTGAGCTATTAACAATGGAAGGGTTATATTGCAAAATAGTTTGCAGTTCCTCTTCCTACACTAAAACAAATCCTCTTTGAAAAGGGCAAAGGAAAGGTGGAGGACTGCAGTTACAGCTACTCTGACAGTGTCTCTGTCTCTGAAGACAGAAAAGTCTTTTCTGTTTGTGTCCTGGGAGAGCTTGGAGTGGTGAGATCTTTCACTCTTTAAAAATCTGGTAAAGAGGGCTTTCATTTGTCACTGGTGAGGATGGAATCATATTACTGGAGCAGTCTGATGTGGAGGTGCTTTTCAGCCACGAGGCACATGTTTCTTTTGCTATGACCACACGCTCCTTTGGGGTTGCCTTGTCTAAAATAGGCCCGACATTGAAAAGAAAAAAGGACAAATGTAAGATGCTGAAATCCACATGATTAAACAGCAGTTTTTATTACAAATTCCAGCTTGGGAATGTTTATGAGTAAATTTAAATTGTCTTAATCCAGACAGCATTTGTTTTGAAAAGATGGGGAACATTTGTTTTAAATGATCAAGCATTGAAACAATAATTTCATTACAGTGTTGAGGGTAGAAAGAGGGAGAGGATTACTGTCTATTATGGCAAACTGAGGCCATGCCCCCACCCACACGGAGGCTCCTAGCAGTATACATATCTCCTTACTGCACCCAACTCATTCTCTAGCAATCACTTTGTCCTGAATCTTCCATTTTTATCGAATGACATTGGAATTATATTACAGGAAACTTTACTGACAATTATACGTGCAATTAAGACCCTATTTTGCTATTTATAAAGTTCAGAGGATAATAATTGGTTAGTTTAAATGGTTAACAGAATTTCAAAGCTAGATAAGTCATTGTAAATACTTTGTGATATTTGTTGTACAACAAAATGACAAAGTCCCAAATGCAACCCTAAGTCTCTATGAGCTTAAATAGGAGCCTAATGTGGAGTTTAATTATATTTGGCATGTATAGAGATACGTATGTGAGGTATCTTTATGGAAAAGAGAAGGCTTTCTAGTCCTAAAAATAAATATATCACAGGATATAGCGTGTGGAAGCTACAGGTAGCAATTGCAAACTAAAATAAGGAGTGTATTTTTAACAGCATTAGTGTGATTTTTATGACTTGTGTTATTTAGAAAGCCAGACTAGTTTTATCAGAGCTGTTGCTTATTGATTTGTGACTATGGATATACATATATATATACACACACACACACACACACATATATATATATATATATACATGATCAAATACCATTTTTTCTCATGCCTAAATCTATGGCTGATCAAGGATAAAATAAAACTAGTATAGTGAAATCCATTCCTTCAATTACAGTTGCACCCATTAATACTTTTTTGTGTGTTGTTTGCAGGCAGATGCCCTATCACTGATATCTTTAATTATCAAAGTTGATTGTTACTGATTAATATAATCAGAAAGAGTAAAAGGAAATAAATTTCTTATGGTTCCATTCTTTTCAATAAGTTTGCCTGAGTACCAGAATCAGGGTAAAATCTTGTTCATCTTGTTCAGACAGTTCCTGGCTTTTCTTGGATGCTACTTGAGAGAGAACATTAGAAAGGAATTGCCTACTGATTTGGCATAAAGCTCATCCTAAGTGTAGAGTACTGATGACCATTCTGAAATACGTATAGTGTAGCAACAAGAATAAGTTTTTAAAACAGTAAGCTATAAAATGAATGAAAATATTTGTGGTTTACCTTCCTTGCAGAAAGAACCTTCTTTATGTATCGATCCAGCTTTGATATTTCAGGTATGGGGTTTGGTTCCAGAAGAGCATGTGCTTGCAGTGCAATATACCCTTTTTGTTAAGATTGCATGACATTCTCTTGTCTTCAAAAATAAACCTGAATATTCTTTGTGCTTCTTTTCTAATACCTGTATTAAATTGACAATCTTAAAAAAGGTACATAATAAGACTTGTTGTGTATGTGTATATTTGTACAATTGTATACAAGTTATATTAAACGTGAAATTTCAAATACATGCTGCTAATTGCTTGTCGAAGGTTCTAGAAGCAACATTTTTCACAGACTTTTGGTTGAATATATCTGGTATTTGAAATTATCTAAGAATAGCAATTCATTACTCATCGTTTCAGAAAAAGACAGACAGGTAAAGTGTTTAGAATGCTGTATTTTTTACAAATGTTTTGAATTACTATTCCCCCTCTCATGTCCCCAACGGTTCAGGAAATGTACCGTGGGGCTTCCATTGTAGTGTGTGGAATCCTTATTGCTGGAAACTCCCTTGTAGCGTCATGCTAATTTGCATTGTGGAATGCTATTTTCTTCAGGAGCATCAAGAAAAAATGCTCATTAAGTTTCACATTCCAAAATAGATGATTTTCTGTTAGGTCCAAGAGAGAGAGAGCCATAAGCCCTCTCCTAAAATGTCTGAGACAGCGTTCTAACGAAAGTGATGAGGAAAAGCAGTATCAGCTACTGCTGGAAGGGGGATTGCTTGATAGGCTAGTACTCTGATCTGTAGCGCAGATCTTGCCTTATAATCTTATGTCCTTTTAGCAGACTGGAACTGTCTTTTAACTGACTGGAAAAAAAATACAC